TGTGAGGCTAGGCATAAGCCTCAATTTGTTGAGAAAAACTCTTTTTTATTTTTTTAGAAAAAGATTAAAAACAATGAATAACACTGAAGTAAAATCATTATTTCATTAGAAGTTCAAAAGAAAAAATCATAGAAGTTCCAAACTTTCACAGATTTGAAATAAACATGGTCATATCTCATTAGTCATAACCCATCAATCATCTCCATTGTCACTAGAAGGAGTGCTACTATTAGATTCCTTGAGGGAATCATCTTTGAATTTCGATTTAACCTCTTCTTTGCTTTCCTCCTCGGCATTTGGAAAATCCTCATCATCATCAATTGGAATTTTTTTTTACCTTAATGAAACATATGTTTCAGTAAAGTAGAAATAAAAAAATTTATTCAAATTAATATCCTATAAATTTGTTTTTCTTCTTTCTTTTTCTTTGTATGTTCAAGAGGGTTAAAAAGTACTATATTTGCATCAAGATCTTCATAATTTTTTAAATTTATGTTTCTTTTACCTGTTTAACACATGTAATTTTTACCTGTTCAACACATGTAATTTTTTTGATAAAAAACAAACAAATATATTAACTTAAAAAAAAAATTATTTTGATTTTTTTGAATCAAAGTATATTATTTTGAAGTTGAAAGTTTTGCTTGTTTTGTTAAACATTTCTTCCTAAAGTCATTAAAGTGTTTTTACAACTATTATTTGAAAGAATGTTTGTCAAAATGCAGCAAACTTTTTTGATACTTCAAAAAAGTCAAAATTATTGTCAAAAGATTCTTTCAGTCTTCCCCTGTTAAAAAAACTAACCAAAGCTCCATATTTTTGAAACATATCTTAGGTGTCTTTTTCCTCTAAAATTGTAATAAAATTGTCATCAAGTACTATATTTGCATCAAGATCTTCACTTCAGTATCTTGAAGCTTTGAAATCCATTTATCACCAGAGTCTACATCATCCAAACAAAGGTGATCTTCAATTGTTTTTTCATTAACTCCCTGTGTTTTAGTTTCAAATTGAACATGTGAACCAAACCATTGAGTTTCTCTTACTTCAAGCAATATCTTCTTTTTGTATGCAACTATTCATTAAAATATTAAAACTCAGTAACATAAAATTTGAAAACATAAATACTTTATATTATTACTTAATTGAAGGAGCTTCAATTCTGTTTACATCCAGAAGCACAACAAGTCAAGCTCAAGATTTTAATAGCAAATTTTGCTAGTTCAGGCGTTTTATCTCCAAAAGCTCTCCACCAATCCGCTGAAAATAGTAATGATGTTTTATTAAATTAATAGAAAAAATGGTTGAGATGTGCTCCTATATTGTGTCCATTCTCTGGTTTATCAAAAAAAAAGAAGATATTGTTAATAACATACTAAAAATAATGAAAACACACATTTGGACTTCTCTTCTTCCTTGGTCTTACTGCATTTTCCCATCCAAATGAACCTAATGCATTTCGAAAATAATAGATCTGCAAATCCACTTTCTCCCTTTCTTCTGAATCAGCAATCAATTGTTCCATGCAAGGATAAAGTCCCAATTTAATCTCATGATGAGCTATCCACAATTATTCCAAATAATCTGATACTTTTTTTTTCAAGCAGTTTTTTCTTTTGCCCTGTCCATAACTTCATAAATAAATCCCATTGGTGGATGCTTCTTGGAATCAACCATTCAAAGAACTATAACTAAGAACATTGTTATGTTGAGCACATAAGCAGCACCAGGCCAAAACGACTTGTTTTTTAGAATTATGTTGCGCACATTTTCCCCAATGATCGAGATGCATAAGCAATGGTTTTCCACTTTTTTAAAGTAAAAAAGAATTCAAGTCCATCCCTTGCTCCAAGATTTGCAAAGTAAGAAATGCAGTGGCTAATTGAGTAACAGCAGGTTTCACCAAATCTCCACCAGTAAATTTTCTTACTATCACTTAAACCCATGCATGACCATGGATAAAATTTATTATTATCTTGGCCTTGATGAACACAGAAACATGGAGGGGTAACTTGAAGATGTTCTCCAACTTTAAGTTAATGCAGTGTTGCACAAGGTGTCCACTACAAGTTTATCCTTTTCTCTATCAACATTTGCCCCGCTGCTTTATAAGCCAAGGCATTGTGTGTTATCACTTGGATAGCATTCTTTTCTCCAAATTCCTCAATGACTTCATCAAGTAATCTAAAAAGCAACAAAATATTATTAAAGTCTAAAAATGAACTCTACAAATTAAAATCTTTTATTTAATTTGTAGAGTATATATATATATATATTATATATATATATATATATATATATATATATATATATATATATATATATATACTCTACAAATTAAAATAAAAGATTTTAATTTGTGGAGTGTATGGCAATATACTCTACCATTATGGGCGATTCCGTGAGAAACAGGAAAAAAAAAAAAGCAAAAAAGTTATGAAAACACATACTAAACTCCAAAACTTTTTTTTTTTAACTATTTTAAAATACTTTAAAGCAAAAAAGTTATTAAAAAAAGTTATTTTATCATACCATAGCTTGGTTTTAATGTTGTAAACATTGTATAAACATGTTTTAACGCTTATTTACAGTCCTGTTGTGTAGTGTTAAAAATTGTACCGTAATCCATAATTAAAAACTTTGATGTTTTATTGCATTTTTTTAACATATTATATATGGTTATTAATAATTATTTATACCTTTTTTGTTATATCATTCATTGTGTTTTTATATTTGTTATTTTTAAACTTTGGATTTTTCCTTACAACTGTCACGGTTACAACCATCACGACAAAAAAACACAAAAATATTTCAAGTAAAAACTATGAAACTCAGCATATATTAACATCAATATGTGCTAAATACACACGCCAAAGAATTTTTTTTTATCAAGCCATTCGCTGCATTAAGTCTGACAAAGTTGTTTTGTTCAGAAGTGATAAAAAGTAAGCATTACAACCTTCATACTACTTAGAGTTGATTTTTGAAAAAAGTTGAAGACTTTAATGCTGTTACTTTTATATACTGAATTATATATTATTTCACATTTCTGGAAAGTTTCAAGTCATTTCCATTTTTGGTTCATTTTTAGTAACTTAAAGAGTGTCAAATGTTACGACCGCCACTCTTGTGGAATTGCCCATATATATATATATATATATATATATATATATATATATATATATATATATATATATATATATATATATATATATATATATATATATGTGTGTAAAATTATTTTTTTCATTAATTATGGTCAATTTAGTTTTACTGATAGTCTTTTATCATTTTTTTTAGATTGTCATTTTTTATTGGATGACTGAATACCACAGTGTTCCATTAGTGAAAAAATAAAAAAGAATCTGTGTTTTTCAGTTCAGGTGCAACAAATAGCAAAGATTTTTTTCCTGTTATTATGTGGAAAAAAAAATTTACTTTCTTATGAGAAGTTAGAAATAAATATCATGCATTAATTTTTAAATTAGTTATTTATTCATTTATTTCAAAAAATCCAATTAATTAAAATCAATATTGTTTTTTTTTTCTATATCTTGTGGAACCAATTCATTAAAAAAAAAATTGATGAAATAATAAACCATCTAAACAATAAGACTTTCCTAGGTTTCATCAAATTTATTTATTGAATACATCAATAACTTATTGAATACAACAATGACAAGTGTTTGTAAATTTTTTATAAAAAATAAATGCTGATAATAAACTAATTGATTTCATTATCAATAAATCAAAAAAAGCAAAGCTATTAATGTTATTTTTATGATATATAAATGCAGATATTGTTGTTATTTTGTGTGTTTTAATGAAAATACATAAATAACAACATAAAAATGCACAGTTTTGCAAATTTGAAATAAAGAAAAAAAAAGTTAAATATTTTATCATAAATGTAACTAATAACAATAAACATATTGAACTATTATAAATTAGAAAACTACAAATAGATTTGGATGTTCTTATAACAAATAAACTAAAGTGGTATATTCATGTGATAACAGCAAACAATACAAACAGAAGTTGGATATGTTTTAAGTAATCTTTTGGAAATGTGGTTTTCAATGTATATAGCCACGAAAGTGTTATATACATTGAAGACCACATTTAGACTATGTTGTATCAGTTTATAATTTTTACAACAAGATTCTTCAGCAGGAATCCTTACTACAACAATAAAAATCATTAGAAGAAGTTTAATAAAAAAGCAACTATAATGGTCTTTAAAATGAAATGTGTAAATAAATCTAAAATATTTAATCTGGAATTATTAGAAAAAAGTATAGTTCGTGATAACCTAATAAAAATATACTGTACTGTACGTACAGTATATTTTTATAGATCAAATATTATTGCAAAAATCAATAACTTTTACCTCTAATAGAGAATTAGGTGAAAGCGATAGTAGAAACAGTGGCATAGAAACGTCACAAAAGTTGGGGGGGGGGGGGCTGAAAATATATATTAAAAAGGAAAAAGTTCCTCATTTTGGAGAAAGTTGGAGGGGCTATCATCCCCTCCCCCCTACCTACGCCAGTGAGTAGAAATATTAACTTTATTTTTGAAAAATAGTTTTTTTCAACAAAAAAGACTCAACTCTTTTACAAAATGAGTAAGTAATTGATTTAGTAAGTATATATATATATATATTTAATTTTAAGTATATGAATAATTTTATGTTATGAAAACTTAAATGCAAAAGTAATTTTTTCCCCTATAAAATCAAATTTTATCAAAATTTAAAAATAAACTTCAACTTTAATAATGTAAATGATTTAAATTGTAAAATAATCCTGCAATTACCTTGTGCAATTTTTCACTATTTTTATTTTTATTATTTAAATACTTTTTCTATGCTGTTTTTATATTCGTTTTTACCTAATATTAATGACTAATAATAAATAAATCTTCTATTGTTTCTTTATATATTTTTAAAAATGTTTATTATCTTTATGTTTTTCTTATTAAATTTTTTTTTTAGAATAAATAAAATAATAAGTTATTTTAAGTTGGTTTTAATAAATATTTTTTCTTTTTCAACAAAGAAACATGTCCTATTAACCATTAAATATAATGAATGAATGGAGTTTAGCTGAAGGCTGTATTGACAATTTTATTCAATCATTCAAAGAAAAAAAGGTAACTACTTATATTTTTTTGCTTAAGCACTGATTATGCAATCATACTTTATCAACTGATACATATGAATATATATATATATATATATATATATATATATATATATATATATATATATATATATATATATATATATATATATATATATATATATATATATATATATATATATATATATATATATATATATATACTATATATATACAACCCTTGGAATTAGGAAAAATAAGCAATAGTTTGCCGACCTCAATCTTTTTGCTACTATAAACTACCTTGTTTTTTGATATACAAAGTTTAATTCTTTAGATAATTCTTAATAATTACATCATTAAAACATGCGTCATTAAATCGTACACATAAATTACTAAGTAATAACTAACATGTTTACCAATTTTTGCCAATAGTTTTAGTACTTTATTGAAGCATTTATTTTTTATTTGAGCTGAAAAAAAAAAAAAAAAAATTTACCCTGCTATACTTTAAAATAATAATAATAATATATAATATTATTATTATTTTAAAGGTATATAAATGAAATATTTATATGAACAAGGCTACTCAATCGAAAAATAACTCAATGGAGATTTAAGGAAACTCAATTGGGAAACTCAATGGAGTCTAGCATGGTTATAAGGTTTTTATACTATCTTACTAATGGAAAAGTTTTTAATACTAATTAAAACATTTTTATTTAATCCTAATCTTATGTCTGTTCATTTGTCAAAATAAAAAAAAAAGGTTTAGAAAGTGTCAAAAAGCAAAGATAATTTCTTTTTTGGAATTTTTACTAAAATTAAGTGTTGAATTTATTAAAACCAATTGCTTTTTTTAACATTTTAAATATTTTATTATGATTTATTTTATAATAGCATTCTTTTACGTCTGATAATGATCTATTTTATTAAGTTCTATATACAACAAAAAATATAAAAATACTACTAAATGCTACTTTTATTTATGTTTTATATTTAAATGACCTTAAAAAAAAAATTTTTATTGAGTTTTTTTTATTTCCTAATTTCTGCTACAAAAAGTTTGAGTTAACCGAAGAAACTTCCAGAAAGGGGATAAAAAATGGTTTAACTTTAGTTAATTTGTATAACTCAAAACAAATTTTAAGTTAAATGAGGTTTGACTTAACCAGAGAATTTTAATAGTAAACAGTTTAATGACTTCAATAGACCAAATGAAACAGTTCAAGTTAACTGGTGTTTTGTATTTGTATATATATATATATATATATATATATATATATATATATATATATATATATATATATATATATATATATATATATATATATATATATATATATATATATATATGTATATATATATATATAAATATATATATATATATATATATATATATATATATATATATATATATATATATATATATATATATATATATATATATATATATATATATATATATATATATATATATATATATATATATATATATACAGTGAGATTCTGGTTTTAAAATTTATATTTTTTAAGCCCCCTGATGTATCATAGATATCCCCTTGAACAACAAAGGTCTTTTACATAATTAATGTTCAAAAGGATTTTTGTCTATTTATTGCAGATAATAGTAGTTAATCAGAAAACTAAACTGTAAGGGCTTGTTGATGAATAGAAAACTACTATACTTAACTTCATTTTGGCCTTTTTTAGCATTTTTCAATTTTTTTTCGAAGTTGAGGAGGCTATAATTTTTGTATTTAAATTAAATACTGTTTTTTGTTAACAAGTTAACAAAAAAAAAGACTATACCCTCAAATGAAAATTTGAGGGTATAGTCTTTAATATTTAGTCTGTAGAAAAAGAAAATATTCATATGTTGTGGTTCATCAAGTCGACAATTGCAAGATGTATATTTTGAAAATTTGGATATAACAATTTTTTCCACATTTTTATTTCTTTTGCTTTTGTAATAATTCTTATGAAAAAAGCAAAAATTTGTTAGAATCATACAGAAAGATTTATTAGATAAGCCTAAGAATATTTATAAATTATTCTAATAGATTTAGTTGTTAAATAATTTAAACTAGTGCAGAGGTGTTCACAATATCAATTTTTTTTTTATTTAACATGGAATGTTTAAAAACAATAATAAAGCATGGTGCAAAGAGAAGATTCAACTTCTCTATTAGTCTTAGAAAAACTGTTTACCTTCTTAATTATCCTATAAACAAATTGCCCACATATCAACTGCTCTCTGTGGAAAATATGTTGAGATATTACCTACTTTTAAACTCTAAAAAAAAACTACTGATTCAGGCCATCAAAGTTTAACATTGCGTGCCTGTAAAAACATTTTGGATTTGAACTTGTGTGTTTTGAAGGAGTTAGTGTTAATCATTTTTAGATCAATTGTGTTGTTGCCAAAGTTCTTTCTGTATGAATCAAAGCAGGTTTTGGAGATTATATTTAGAAAGAAAGTTTCAAATATCATAGAAAAAAATTACAACCAAAATTACAAAAGATCAACTCACAAAAGCATATACTTATATACATATAACTGTTTTTCTATGCGTTTAATTTAATTAAAAAAGGTTTTTAACATTGTGATTCATTTTTTCTCACTGAAACAGTTTATTTCATTATTTAATTCTGGGAAACAAATTTGTAAGTTGGGTTTTTTTATATTTATAGAAAGAAAATTGTCTCGTGCGTAATATATAAATAATAATATATATAATATAATATTCCCACGTAATATATAATATGCGCGTAAAACCATAAAAAAATCAAAATCTCACTGAATTTATAATTATACATCTAGCAAAGTTGCTAACTTAGGTTCAAAATCTTTTATATATTCTATCTTTATAGACCAAATCACATAATTAGGAGGGTATAGTCTCTTGATTTTCAAATTTTCTTCATTTTTTGGGACACCCTAAGTGTCACTGCACAGTACTGCGCAGTACTGTGCAGTACACTCCACAATACTGTGCAGTACACTGCACAGTACTGTGCAGTGTTTATAAAGCTATATTTTCTGAACCATTGCACTTGGAAATCTGAAATTTCAAATGAAATTTCTCTACATGATGTAGATAATAATATGTAAAAATCAGCAAAATCTGAAATGGCACCCCTCAAAATTTTCTCAAAATTGGTTGAAATATAATGATTTGACCCTATAATAAAATATTATACTACTACTATTATTATTATTATTATTATTATTATTATTATTATTATTATTATTATTATTATTGTTGTAATAATCCAATATTTAATGATATAATAGTAGTAGCATAAATTTTCTTTTTATAATTTTTTGATAATGGCATTATTTAAATAAAAATATATTTTTTCTAGAACAAAGGTACTCTTACAGACTTTTCAACTGAAGAAAAATGCAATTTTTACCTAAGACTTTTAACCCAACTTTACGAAGGCTTAAAGATGTGGATTGAAACAAATAACAAGTTTAACTATGAAAAGTAATTTTTTACTAGCTTATATTTGATTTTTTCATTATTTTTATTTAGTTTCATTAATTTTTTCGGGAGCGATCTTTTATTTTTGGATATGGCTGTTCCACACAATTTTATTAAATTTAAATTTGTTATACAGCGTTCTTTAGATAATAAATATTTTAAAATTATTATTTTAAAATTATTTTATATTGCCTGACAAAACGTTTAACATTTTTTCAACTTCCTAAATACTTATTTGTCATTTGATTGCATCTGATTGTGTTTTTTTTTCCCATCTAGTTTTTAATCATCTTGTTTTAAAGAATAAAGTAAAATATAAAATTTTTCACATTAAAACAGTGAAATAACAATTTCTTTTTGTTAAAACATATTTAATGTTTTTTCATTGCTAACGCTAATAGAATTTTTGTAACTTTTTTAGCAAACGTTTTCACAAACTTAACTTTCTTTTTTCTCAAATAAATTTATAATTTTAATTAAGTTATAGATAATATAAATTATAATTTTAATAACAAAAGCTTTTTCAAGTTAAAGTTAAATTTTTGCAATTTAATATTAATAAATTTATATAAATAAATAAAATTTTATTTAATTTCGTTAAATGTTTGCTGTAAACATTTTATATAAATAAGTCACAAATTACCATTCATTGTTCGTAGAAATTTGCAATGGAATGACTTGAAAAATATGTGAATAGAGGTTATTTCATTTTTAACAATAAGCAAATTTTTTTGTTCAATTAAACAAGAATCTTTAAAAAAATTTAATATAAAATCAAGTAAACCATTATTAGTTTTCTCCCTCTCAAATTTTTAATACAAGTGCAATTTTTTACTCTCGTAACTAAATTAGCGAGCGCCCACAATTTATAAATACTCCATTAACAAGCATGTTTCATATGATGGGAGCGATCGCCACGCTTCATGCCATTGCCTGTATATATATATATATATATATATATATATATATATATATATATATATATATATATATATATATATATATATATATATATATATATATATATATATATATATATATATATATATATATACAGATATATATATATATATATATATATATATATATATATATATATATATATATATATATATATATATACAGATATATATATATATATATATATATATATATATATATATATATATATATATATATATATATATATATATATATATATATATATTTATTGTGGCTGATATCGGCCCGGTAAAAATGCGGGTCTCTGTAAATCTATTCCAAACCAAACTTTTCTATACTTTTTCCTTATATATCCTAGCTTTCCGGATCCCTAAAATACAGGTCTTTACCAATTTACATATCTATTTCTAGCTGAAAATTTCTTTACCAATTCCTTATTTACTTCAATATTTTTTAGTAAAATAGTTTATTCTGAAGAAAAAAATTTAAGAGTAAAAAACTTGACATGCGCACCTTTTCCGCATACGTAGAGCTTTTAAGAGGCTCATAATTAGGTTTGTGTTTCTGCTAAATGCATTTGATTGATAGCGCAGTGGTTAATTGTGCTGTAATCAGTGTTTTTTTGGAGGGTTTAAGACCTTCTCTTAGCGAAATAAATTTTTTCAATCTTTTTTCAATATATATTCATAGCAAAAAAATAAAAATATAGAAAAAAAGGTTTCTAAAATTTGAAATAAAATTTTTAAGTTTTTGCATTTTATAGATATATAGATATACGCAATTATTCCATAAAATGCCTGCAAACTCAGCATAAAGACGTTTACACTTACATAAATATGTATGTAACGCTATACAAATGAAATTAAGAAGATCTAAGAGCACTAAACCAAAGTCATAAAAAAAATTAATTCTCATGATTAAGAACTAAAAGAATAATGTTAAATACTTTTCTAAATGTTAAGCCAAAATGATTTAATCATTTTGGCTTAACAAATGATTTTAATCATAATATAATTCTTCTGCATTTAAAATAAAATTATTGTTTCACTTTGAAATAACAATAACAAGTAAGCTTCTTTTTTTACATTTAGTAAAATTATATAACGCAATCTAGTGTATAATTACTTAATAATCTTTTTAAATACTTTTCTAAATGTTAAGCCAAAATGATTTTGGGCATTGACGTTAGTTTGTGGCAAAATAAACCCTTATGCGTCAAGTTTCCTTTTACATTCATTTTACATTTTTTTATTAATTTTTATTATGTTGCATAAAAATGCATTAAAAAATATAAAACTGGTACAGATATATCATTTTCATGGATAAGAGATTGTATTTATTACAATAGTAATAAATAAATAGTTTTAGGGCCATCCATAAAGGGCGTCATCATTTTTTTGGCAATTTTTGACCCCCTTCCCCCTTTGTTTCTTCAATTGTCTTTTTTCCCTATACCCCTTGAAAAGGACCTCATAAAATCCTTCCCCCCTTCCCCTAATTTAAACCTTAAAAATTATTTCATCTTGCAATGATGTTTGAATCTTCTGCTACACCTTTGAAAAAAAAAGTTAAAAATATTCTCATACATTATCTTCTTAAAAATACATATTTACATAGGTTTTCATGTTAATTAAACTAAAATAAAAAATCTACAAAGTGACGTCCTTTTCTGATAAACTTATCCCCTCCCCTTGTTCTTTTTTGTCCTTTTTATCTTGAACCCCTCCCCCCTCCCTATTTGGATGATGTCCTTTATAGATGGCCCCCGTTGTCTTTATTAGAATATATCCCATAAAAATGTATAAAATATATATAATAGATTGAGTTTTCATAAAAAATTGAAATAAAATCTTATTTCTATGACTATCATTTTTAAAGGTCTAAGAAGCAGATGACATAACTTTAGAAATCAGAAATTATCGAGATAGGAGCAATTCTAAAGTTGAAGTTTCAAATTTTCCACTTGGAAGTGACAATATGTTTAATGTTTTTTTAATCTTGTCAATTTTTTTAAATATAATAACTTAACTACAAAAAATCAAAACAAAACAGCTTAAGCAAAAAAGACTTGTAATTATTAGAAAAGTTTATTTATATTACATACGATCCTGAATAAAACGTTTTGAAAAATAAATGTAGCAAAATAAGTTTTTCATTGTCAAAAGAAAGTTTTAAATTTTCTTTAAGCTATGGGCTTATTTTTTTGTCTCCACAACAGCATCTTCTTGAGTAGCAGGACTTTCTTATTTATTTAAAATAGTTTTTTTTTATTAAGTTTCAGACAACTTTTTCAGACCATCAGTAATATATTAGGACCTGAGCACATATTAGGACTGAGCTTGACGCAATGCAATTTTCAATTGAAAATCAAACTGTAAAACTTGATAAATGTTTCAGTACGTTGTAACATTACTTGATTAAAAGTTAACATACATTAGATATTTGGATACGTGTTAGTTCACGTTTTCTTATAAAACATGCTTATAATGTTTTCTTATAAAAAGTTCTGCGATTCTTTCTTGCCATTACCTCGCTTGCGTTGGGTGCTAAGGGCATTGTGTCAAACAGGCTTGAAAGCGCACTATTAAGTTTGGCAATAATATATAATATAATATATATATATATATATATATATATATATATATATATATATATATATATATATATATATATATATATATATATATATGATATATATATATATATATATATATATATATATATATATATATATATATATATATATATATATATATATATATATATATATATATATATATATATATATATATATATATATATATATATATATATATTAGGGCTGTTCATGTGAACACAGGAAAAAATTTTTTTTCTCGGATTTGAATGCATAGTTGTTTATTTTGTGCCATTTGACATAGTAATTGACTGTGTAAAAAATCTTTCCAATCAGATAATGTTTAGGGGGTGCTCAATGACCATAAAGTTTTACGAAAAACGTCAAAAACGTGGAAAAAGTTCCAAAGTTCCAAAAATTTCTAGAACCTGGTTAGTTAGATTTTTTCCACTGAAATATTGTCTGATTGCGTGCTATATAGATTAATTAAAGTGCAGCAGATTAACTGTCATCAGGGCACCAGACTAAAAAATGTCTGCTAGTGTTTAAAACAACTGTGTTTATATCATTTTGTTAAAATTTGTATTCATAATTTTAATACTATTATTTAACTCAATTTAGAATTTGTTCAAACAGAATAAAAAGGTTTACAAGTATAAATATTATTTTTATTTGGAATTTCAGTTTGACAACAAATGTATTAATATTTTGATAGTACCTAACCTTAGTAACCTATTACAGAAAACTAGCATGGTAGTCTGGTAGTGTATTGTTTGTTATTAAGTGCAGATAATAATAATTTCTAATTTGAAAATATTTATTTAATTTCTTTAGTAATAATTATTATTATATATTGCTGCAGCTGCATAAACCAACAACTGAATGATAAGTTTGTATAATATGGTATTGAGTTTTGATTTTCTCATAATTTTTCAGTTATCATTGAAATGGCAGCATCATCTCGTGTTGCTATCTCTACACGACTTCAAACCGAAATCTTTTTAATTGGACAACCAGAGCCAAATCTTCCAGATAAAGTTCTTCCCTTAACATCTGATGTTTTAAAAACATTTTTTTATCATCTTAATTCAACCAAAAAGTCAGTGCCTGAAAGTCTTAAAACAACTGTTGATGAACTGATTATTATTTGGAATAAAGCCCGTATTCCGACAGCATTTCATCCGAATGTAGTCTTAAAGTTGAAAACTTTAGTCCAGGAATTTAAATTAATAAAAAAAAAAAAATCCAGATTGTCAGATTCTCAGAAATCAAGAGAGAAATCATTTACAGACACCATTGGCCTACTTTTTGACATTGCCCACAAGGATGCTGAAACCATGATCAGAATTGAAGAAGATAAAGAATTTTTATTGGATCAGAGATGTCAGAGAAAAATGGTGATGTTTGGAGAGGACAAAGAACTTTCAAAATTAGAAGCAAGAAATGAAGCAAGGAAACAAGCAGAGAGAGAACGAAAGCTAAAAGAAGAGCAAAGACAATCTGGTGCGAGTGCAATAGTTCCTGTTATTGAACCTTTACATGACGAAAGTTATAGTGATGACAACGATAAGGATGCTGTTGATAATGACAAAATGGTTGATAGAGATTTTGAGATAGAAATCCCTGTTTATTACAGACAACAAGTCAGTAAAGCAAGTTCTTCAGGGTCAGCTGAATCAAGTTTAGCAAGTACTCCAAAACGACAATGTATCTTAGATATAATTTTTGACTCGCCTGATGTTTCATCAACATTAGACAGAATTAATCTATCTGACACAAAATTTACTATACTAGCAGCAGCAATTGCAATTGCAGCAATTGCAAAGGCTGGTGGACAGAACCTCGATGATGGATCATTGTCACGTTCTACAGTCCGTAGAAAACGAACCTATCATCGATCAAACATTGAAGCCGCTGTTCGAACTGAATTCTGTGATTTGGACAAACCACCATTAATCGTCCACTGGGATGGCAAACTGATGATAGATCGTACAAATTCTGCAGACCCTAAAGCAAATGTTGACCGGCTATCTGTAGGTGTGACAGGTCACAATGTTGACAAAATACTTGGAATAGCAAAACTATCAGCTGGAACTGGAGAAGCCCAAACAAAAGCAGTTATTCATCTGCTTAATTTCTGGGACATAATTGGTGATGTTATTGGAATAAGTTTTGATACTACAGCCTCTAACACTGGCTCCGAAAATGGTGCATGTGTAGTTCTAGAGAAACATATAGGTAGAAATTTGTTATATTTTGCTTGCAGACACCATGTTCATGAGATCATAGTAGCAGGAGTGTTTGGATCACTATTTGGACCATCATCTGGTCCCAACATACCTCTTTTCCAGAGATTTCAGCAATATTGGCCCAAAGTTAATCAAGGAAATTTTAAACCTCTGGATGACATTCGAATGAAAATACCCCTGGTGCAAGAACTACAAAATGAAGTGATGGCATTCCTCAAAGAAAACCTGCATGTTAAAATGCCAAGGGATGACTACAAAGAAATCATGGATCTCTCTGTTAATACTTGGAAAACTGCCTGATCAAGAAGAGAAAAATTATCATTTCAAGATCCCTGGTGCTTATCACATGGCTCGCTGGATGGCCAGGTTATTTATTGTTTTAAGATTTATTTATTTCGTGAAGAGTTCAAGTTGACCACAAAAGAGGAAAAAAATCTCTGTGAATTTTGCTTATTTGCTAGTCTGGTTTATGTAAAATCTTGGATATCATGCCCAAATGCCAGCGATGCTCCAGTTAATGACTTGTTTCTGTTTCAGCAATTTAAGCAGTTTGCAGTTGTGAATAAAACGATTTCCGAAGCAGCAGTCAAGAAATTTCAAAACCATTTGTGGTACCTTTCACCAGAATTGGTCCCACTAGCTTTGTTTTCAAACAAACTTAAAACGGAAGAGAAGCGAAAAATGATTTCCAACATGAAATTTCACGGTGAGAACTGGTCTGAAAGGTTGATCAAATTAAAGAACATTGAAAGTCTAGAGAAGAAATCTCTGGACTTGCTGGTGACATCAGTTTCAGCAAGTGCGTTGCGGTCAATGAAGGTTGATATTGATTTTCTGTTCAACAACGATCCAGCTACCTGGAATGATTCCCCAGAATACCAAGAAGGAAAAAATTTAGTACATTCATTGAAAGTAGTAAATGATGCTGCTGAACGATCTGTGGCTTTAATGTCGATGTTTAATGAATCGATTACAAGGAATGAATCTGAAATGCAGAGGTTAATTCAGGTGGTTGAGGATCACAGAAAGCGAGTGCCAGATGCCAGAAAGTGTACTCTGAAGAGTTATAGTCCTCGCTAGCATTAACATTGCATGAACTATAACATTGCGATAATTAAATGTTAATTGCTCATATGTTTTTGAGTTGACCTACTTAGTAGTTGATAATGGTTTGAGAAACTGTTACTCCTTTACAATAATTTTTTTTGTTTATAATTCGTATTTTAATCAATGACAAAGAGTCAAAAATCTTAGTGTTTTATTTTGGAAAAATTCTGATATAACAAAAACCGCAGAACTTTAGTCGTATTGCAGTATTTTATTTCATTAATTTCTCTGCTAATAAACCAGTATAAAGTGGATGTGGATTGTAATTTGTATTCAGAATTTAATATTTAGAGATAATTAAAACTGATCAAATCTGAAAAATCTAATTAACTGGGTTTTAGAAATTTGTGGAACTTTGTTACTTTTTTCATGTTTTTCACATTTTTCGTAAAACTTTATGGTCATTGAGCACCCCCTAAACATCTGATCGGAAAGATTTTTTGCACAGTTAATTAATATGTCAAATGGCACAAAATAAACAACTATGCAATCAAATCTGAAAAAAAATTTTTTTTTGGACAGTCCTAATATATATATATATATATATATATATATATATATATATATATATATATATATATATATATATATATATATATATATATATATATACATATACACATACACATACCCATAAAAATATGCATATAATCATTTTTCAGTTTCGCATTTTTTATTTTTATTTTGATATAGAAATCTACATACATTTGAGGCAATTTTTTTGTTAAAAATGCCTATGTCTCTTGGAGAAGATATATCTGCACTCTATGAATCCTCTTTTGAAGTTTACTGTTCTTCCAACAAAAAATTATTTCCAGGTATAATTAACTTAAATTAAGTAATATTAAATAAAATAAAATTAAATTAAATTTGTAAAACTACATACTAGGTCAGTGGCAATATAGCCAAATTGTGGCTAAGTGTAAATTGTTGTGAAACACTGGTTTCAACAAACTTTTTTGTTTCAATTTATTAAGTATTTTACTGGATCCTTCAAATTTTTTAGCAATCTTTTAGTCATAAATAACATTATAGCATGAAATTTGCTAAGCAACATTAAATCAACAATAAATCTTAACAAAAAATTATTAAGTACTAATAAAAAGCATCGAGCACTTTTAAAATAAACATCGAGCACTTTTAAAATAAAACATTGCTTTAGTACTACATAATTAAAAAAAAAATTTAATAGTTTTAGGTACATTTCTGTCTTATTTATTTTCAAATATTCCTCTATTAATCTTTATTTTTGTCTTGACAACTGTCAAAATATGCTTTGTTCGAAAAATAGTTCTCCTTTATTCTAATGTACTTCATTTCTTCCCTCAGGCGTTCACTACTCGTGTTTAAATAGCTATGGCAAATTTTATATGCCAAAGTTTTTAAATAGCATCGAGCACTTTTAAAATAAAATATTGTTTTAGTACTATGTAATTACTTATAAAAAAAATATTTTAATGAAATTTTTCTACTTGCCATATGATATGGAAAGTAGAAAAATTTTGTTCAAAACCATATTAAAAAAAAGCAAAAAAAAACAACAACAAAAAGCTATAAGGCTTCAAAGGGACCCATAAGTGCCATATCAAGTTGTTTATTTTCAAGAGAATGTTTAAAAATGTTTGGATTTAATTTTTTTGATTAAAACAAAATAATAAATGTATACCAAGAAAAACTAATTATTAACTAAACAATTTAGGTGCGTTTAATTTCAAAGTGTTCCAGTATAAAAAATGATTACATTGTAAAGTTTCATTTCTAGAGAAATTAATATGTATTTTTTTTTGAATCAATATTATTTTTTTTTTGTTTTATTTGTTTTGAAAATAAGCGTTTCTCATTAATTGTATGGCTTTCCCATAAATTTTAAAGAAAGCTAAACACAAGAATTGTTTCTTTATAGAGTGCAAGAACCAAATAAAATTTTCGTGGTACACTTTTAAATGTAATAAATGTATAAAAAAGATGCTGATCACTTTATTATATATTCTGAATCTTTTTTATTTTTTTGTAAACAATGTGAACTTTTTTTCTAGTTTTATTTAAGCCGTTTATTGCTTAGAAATTTTTGTTCTCCTATCGAAAAGACATTTTACAGTTTCTTAAATTTTTGATTAATGAATAATTTTGGTAAACAACAGCATTTATTAAAAATATTGGGCAATTTTTTTTTTTTTAGAAAATATTGATAATTATGTCAATTTATTTCAAATTTATAAATTTTAATAATTTGCACATAGGTGTATAGGTAATTTTGTTTATATTTTGTTTTTGGATTTTGATAGCTAAATGGTTAGATCACTAAAAAGTAGAAAAAGATAAGAAAAAAAAAACAAGAATTATATGAAGACTTTTCAAATCTCAACTTAAATATAAACAAAATAGAAAAGCATTATAGACTTAAAAGTAAAAGTAGTTGGCCTGGTAACATGAAACAGTAACTACAAAGTCAAATAAGACTAACAATTGGTAATACAAGAATTGAATATTTAAACGAGTTCAAAAAATATAAAAGCAAAGTATAAAAAAACCAGAACCTTATATATATATATATATATATATATATATATATATATATATATATATATATATATATATATATATATATATATATATATATATATATATATATATATATATATATATATATATATATATATATATATATATATATATATATATATATATATATATATATATATATATATATATATATATATATATATATATATATATATAAACCATGAAATAGCTAATCATATCATATATATAAACCATGAAATAGCTAATCATATCAGCTCTGAAAATTTGAATTTGGATATTGTTAAAGCGTCAATTAAATAATTTGAGTGTTTGTACCAAACAAATGTGTAAATGTAGATACTGTAAAGCTATCTTGGAAAAAAATGTCTTTGTTGCATTAAAATAAAGGATATAAACATTGCCACAGGTATTACAAATTAATCATAGTTAAATAAAAATATAACTAAAAATTTATGTTAATGAATGCAGTATTAAGAAAATTGATAGTTACAAGTATTCCATTAAACAATTTCAATTTTAAAATCGGCTTGATAATGCTTTTGTTTTAATCTTTAGCAATTATTATTTAATTTTAAAAATAAAATAAGCAATACATGTTTTACAAAATAAGTTTTATTAAATATATTCTTGCATGACTAAATAAAAATTTTGAGAAAATTTGCACCTCATGAGAAGTTTAGCTTGAATAATACAAAATAATTTTTCAACAAAATCTTAATAGGAAAAATAGTCATTTAATAACAATAAATATAACAAAAATCTAATCTATAGCAATAGACAAGCCTAAAATATCTGAAATATTTTATTCATATTTTTAATGCTAATTCAGTGTTAATAAGAAAATAAAATAAACTCTAGTAATTTATGATAAAATTTTTTTTTTTTATTTTTATTAAGTAGCTAATTCTATAGTAATGAAATAAAAAAAAGTTCTATAATTTGAAGAAAAAAAGATTTTTTAAATATTAAGACTTAAAAATTACACTAACATGAAGACTGCAAGATTTGACTAAAACTATAAAGTTAGTTTTTTTTATTATTGTTTTATTTTAATCAAAAAAATTCACCCCAAACATTTTTTTAAAACCTTCTGTTTAATATGAACACAACCTGTCTCAATTTATTATCTCAACTTGTTTCATTCTTTGAGCCTTTGTTCAATATTTCTATTCCTCCTTTTAGTTGTAGTTGTTTAATATCATTTATAGGGTTATGAAAATTTATTTTATCAAATTCTTTTTCAAATAAATAAGCACTTTTGCTTTTATAAAAGGTACATCCAATTAGTATTGTCTCAGTACCAATTTTAAATATACACCATATATTTTCAGATAATGATTAGGACATTTTTTTTATTTCATAAGATTTTATTTTTTCATCAACATAAATACATGCATCTCCTTTATTTGTACATAATCTCTATTTATTTGTACACAATTTATTTGTATTTACTTGTATTTATTTTATTTATTTAATATATACAATTTATTTTACCTTTATTTGTACACAATATCTATTTATTTGTACACAATCTCTAATAATCTTTATTTGTACACTATCTCTTTACTTGTACACAATCTCTACACAATCTCTATCAAATTAAACCTGATAGTATAACTGCTGATTTGTCTGACCACCATGTTTCACTAATTCACACTAAACTTGCTTTGAAATTGATAAATTCAATCAATAACTTGTCAATTTTGTTGCTTAAAGCAATTGCATTTGTGTTATTATTTGTATCATTAGACATGATAATTGATTATCTAAATTATTCTGTTTCAACTACGATTTATCTAAGTCTTTTTTGGCTTGTTGTTGTTTCTAATAATGTATCAAAAGGGCAAATTCTTATCCTCTTCAGCTTTATTCAACTTTTTCTGGATCTTACAATAATTTTAAACTCTATCTGCATTTGTAAGGTTCTGGTTTTTTATACTTTGTTTTTATATTTTTCGAACTCGTTTAAATATTTAATTCTTGTATTACCAATATTTATCTTATTTGACTTTACAGTTACTGTTTCATGTTACCAACTACTTTTACTCTTAAGCCTATAATACTTTTCTATTTTGTTTATATTTAAGTTGAAATTTGAAAAGTCTTCATATAATTCTTGTTTTTTTTTTCTTATCTTTTTCTACTTTTTAGTGATTTATTCAAACCAAAAATTGAAACATTATTTTCTTTACTGAATTTTTCTTTTCTTTCCGCTGAGATGGCGTTTAAAATTTTTGTTTCAACTTCTACTGGCTTTGTTTTACTTAATAGGCTACTAAAGAGTGATGGGTTATTTACTTTGTTCTTTTCAGAAAATTTTTGCTTTAATTTACAAATTTCTGTTTCCTGATCAAAATTTTTTTTTTTTATTTTAACTTCTAAAACTCTATTTATCTTTTTTATTTTCTTTTTCTTCTTTAAAATCTTTTCGGAGTTTTTCAGAAAGTAACGTTCAGTAAAGTTAACAAAATGCTAGATAAAATAAAGCTTCATTTAGAATTTTATTATATTATTTTATTATATTATATTAGTCATTTATTATTTTTTCTTGACTTGTTTATACTTCTTTTTTTGATTTGTATTGATTTTTTTATTTGAAAAAGTTTTTTTGTTTTTTGAATTGTTTTTGTAATTTTTATTTCACTAAACGTTTTCTTCCTGTTGTCAATTTATTATAATTTGTCCCTTAAAAATGACAATGGATATAATTTGTTTGGCTGCAGATTCTAGTTTATTAATAAATGCCAAAAATACTTTCTGCAACCTTTTTTGTTTTACACAGAAAATTTCTCCCAACAACAATAAATTTCCAACTATTTTCAAATAAATAAATATATTAAACACTAATGCAAAAAACACGACCAGTCAAAAACAATACGGGTAATTTTTAACAACTTTGCTGGAAATTATTACAATGCCTAAATAAATGAATATCATTTTAAAAACATTACAGATACAGTTAAAACAAAACTCATTATCAATTATCATAATCATTTTATTTTCAAATGAGCTTTTGTATCTACATATCAAAAAACAGCGTGAAATTTTTTTTTGATTGTCTGAGCAAGCACTATCAGTGCAGACAGCTTGTATTACCTGTCAAATTCGTTTTAGACAGGCAATTCACTGCTCGTGAAATGAACTGTGCAAAGTATTATCAAGATATTTTTATATCTAGAGGTTGCTCAATGATCTTGATGTTATCAGATTTCTGGTTAAAAAAAAATTATTTTATTTTTAATTATTTTACAAAGTTTCAATTTCTTCATTCAAA